CCACTGAAAGGGCTGTCATATGATATATCACTCAATTCAGACCAATTATTGTTGTGTTCGCTGATTTTACGAGGAAAACTAAAAAATATTGCTCGCTTGCTTTATTCGCTCGAATTAGGTCAAAAAATCAAAAATTTCAAACCAGTTTTTCTCAACATTGAGAAAACTTCTTGGAAATTTGTTAAGATAGTTCGGATCAAGACTAAAAGGGCTTTAATATGATATAACACTCAACCTTGTCCGATGATTATTTGTAGTAGCTGATTTTGCGTAGAAAACAAAAAGAAAAAAACTATAACACACCCGAATACAAAGTTCCTCTCCATTTACAATGGTCTGAACAATAATCATGTGTGCCGTAAGGCCGTTGCTAAAAACAAGTGTTTATTCAGTCGGAAAAAAAAATAAGCTGAAATTTTCAACTCCAATTGCATTAATAATTTATAATACACATTGACATTCTCATCGACTCACATGCTAAAAAGATTTAGTCCGGAAGAAAAAATATTTCCGATCTTTGATAAGAGTCTTAAAATTCAGGCCTGAAAATAATCTTTGTTTAAGGTGCCTTCGAAATTCTGCCCAGTTCTAATAGACATCCCTCAACCCACTAGAAGAGTAAGCAACCTCAGCTCGCCAGGCTTAGGCTACCCCACCCCCAACCAGAGACAGACGTCAATCAGCCAGACCAGCCGCGTGTCCATATCCGCCTCCGACTACGCCCCCAACTCCTACTACCTCAGACACAGAAGGGGGGTTACTATTGGGATGCAAGACTCGGCAGGTAGCGGGAGGAAGAGGTTCGCTGGCCTCAAACACGGGCTGAGTGTTCTGAATAAAGACCTGCAGATGACATTTCTGGTGAGTGATCTTCAAAATTTTCCATTACGTAACAATGGCCGAAATAAATTTTCCAGAATTTCGGCACTTTTCTGCAGTGTCATCTGCTAACTCAGTACAATCATAAAATTATGATAAAAGTAATGGCTCATTCTGTAATGCTGAAAAATATTAGAACTAGAAATTATATCAACTTTTGATTAGCGCTGAAATTCTTCGATACATGATCTGCTAGATACCAGTTAGTAAATTAACCCGAAAGTTCCTTACCACTTTACTTCTTTCAAAAGTACGAGAACCAATGGTAGTATTGATGATGATACCCGTGCCCAGTGGATTTTCTATGCAAGATCTGAAATTCTTCATTTCGTACATAAGTTGCTTCTCAGATTTCCGACTTATTAGACCGATCTTTAATAAGAGTTTTAAAAATTCAGGCCTGAATTTTTACATGAAATTTTAAAAATTTAGATCTAAAATAACCTTGAAAAACAAAACTTCAATTCTGAATTTAAATTTGAGAAACCCTTTGTTAAATTACAATATATGTAATTCTAGAAGACTATTGAGTCATTGTTTTTTGCAGTTTTTGCAATACACAGTTTCATTTAGACTAATTAGCGGTAGAAAACTTAGTTATCGGTAGAATAATTAAACAAACAATTTATTTTTTCAAACCAAATTTCTTGTTTATTAGTTATAAAAAGTTCTCAAAGATTGTAGGAGCTCATATCAAATTTTTCAATTTCATGAGCTAATTATGCATTTCCGATATTTATCTCATATTTTGGTAAATACATGTAACAGTATCTAATTAGGTTTTTGCTAAGTACCTGCTAGAAGCTATTAAGTACAGAACTATCTAATAGCAAAAAAAAATGCCTCAGAATAAACATGATAAACAAAGTTTCAGATCTGAAATTAGACCAAAAATAGATTTTTTTTGATCTGAACTAATCATGAAACACAAAAATTCAGATCTGCAATTAGATCATAAAAAGAACTTTTAGATCTGAAATAACCTAAAACACAATTTTAGATCTTAAAGAATCCAAGCGTTATATTAACAATTCACAGTTCACTTTAGATCTGAAATTTAGATCTGAAAAAGGTTATTTCAGATGTGGAATAGATCATTTACTAGGTACGGGTAGTACCATTTTACCCAGTTAATGAAAGGTATTATTGTCAAATAGGCATAACATGAAAGTTTTCAGTGCAAATAATTTCTGAGCGCCCTTACAATTTTATTTTCTAAAATTATAAAGACTAGTTTTGGAATTCCATTGAATCGATCGTTACATGGAGTAAAAAAGCGCAAAATAATGTTAAACTGAAAAAAGTTTACTCGTATCCGATCAAAGGCCCGAATGCTCCTACTACATTTTTGTTTTCTATGAATAATTTAAAATATAACAAATGATGAAGTTTCAAAAAAAAGTCATCACGCTTGTTAAGTACACAGTTATACATTTTGCATATATCAAAGCATTAAAAAGACCGAAGAGCAAGCCCCAATCCAATTCGGAACAATTTCTAACAATTATTAAATCTTCGCTGACGCTATAATAGCACGAAATATATCGCACGTTAATTGTCCCAAATTGGCCACGCTGGCAATATTTAAACTCCCATAATTTTACGAAAAATGAGCACAGTTGAAAAATTATTCAAAATTGGAGCTGATGACAACAATATCTTTCGATTGTTTTGAAAAAACTCCGTCGAAATTGCTAGTTAAAAAGTCAAAATTGGTCTGGAGAAAAAGAACTACCCCGTGCACAAATATTTCCATCGAAAGTCGGAACGAAAAAAAAAACTCTGAAATTTTCCATCGCTCATCGGGTTGGTTCAAAACCAGCTAGATCTTTGCAGACTCTGATAAAAAATTTCCAAAGGATTGGATCAAATATTTCAGCTGTAAAAAGCAATTCTTAAAGAGCACATTATACGTTGGATCCAATATCTTTAATTTTTTGCCAAAACTCCACATTCGAAAAACTTGTAACAATGTGCTTCAACAGATTGATTTTTTTGATGCTAAGGGTACAGCCAGATTGAAGGAACGCGATACGGCCAGGCAGTAACCGCCATTTAAAAAAGTTCAAGTTTTATTCCTAAACCAAATATGGATCTCGATCACTTACTAGCAATTTTCAGAAATTAAGTGAAAGAATCCATAATTTCGCTAGCTTACGTATACTTTACTTCAATTCTAAAACAGAATTTTTGTGTATAACATTGGCACAGAGATCTTTCAATAAGAGTTCAACTTCTCTAGATTCTGCACAAAGTCTGCGAACTCACAATCATTCATTTTTATTATGTTTTTTTTTCTCATTTTCGCTTGTTGCCTTTAAATATTGTTAATTCTTCATTTTTGAATGTTTTTAATTATTTCATACATATCAAAGGCAAGACTTTGCACTAAAATGGGTTAGTTAGCTGTCCCCTTTTTAATTCTGGCACATCATGGTTTCACGGTATGTTTGATTTTATACAATCAAGAATGAGATTTTAAAAAAATTTCTTTTAAAAGAAATTGAATGCTTATTAAATTGTCGAAAGAATTGCAGATTCGAAGAAATAGCTAGCAAATGCTTGTAATCGAGCTAAATAACCTCAATTGCTATAAGTGGTTTTAAGTAGTTTTATGCTTCAAATGAAGCGAGGCGACGTAGATTTTGTTCGCGTTTGCTTGGTAGAAAACTTAGCTTCGCTCAGACTGACAATTGGTAAATTTCCTTGACGTTTTTGGCATAATTATAGATAACAATAATTAGTTTGAAATAACTTTTGGTTCGTGTCTAAATTTTTGATGGATTTCATTTTGACTTCCCTCTCTCTGTTGGCTGCGGGTTTTAGACACGCTTGAAATATCCGTTTTGATTTCCTAAAGCTCTCAATAAATGTGACTTTTTGACTAATTTATAAGATGTTTTTAGTGAAAAAAGCAAGCAAGCTACAATTCCTGGTCGCTTTCCACACCTTTCGGAATAACATCATTCCATAAAGCTACGACACTGATCTATCTGTAAGGTAAAAAAGACGTTAGCTAATCATAGAAAGTGGACCAACATCTGGAAAAACGGAATTGGTCCCAATGGGTGGGCTCTCATATTTAATCAAGCATTCAGCGTCTCTTTTGGTTTAAATCTACTATGAGAACTAACCCAAATATAAATGAGACTGTCTAGATTATTAAATCGACCATGAAAATGTCAAATTTGCTCTCTTCGCCCAAGAATTCCAACAGTTGGCGCGCTCTTTATGACTTGATCTGACGCGGAGCTGAATATAAAACAGTTCCTCAAGCCAGTTTTGATTAATTATCGAGGGATCTTTTTTGAGAAAATCATTCAGTGCTGGGATTGTCCCGTAAAGTAATTCATTTTGGGATTTCGATCAGCGCTGGCATGAGTTTAGGGTTTAAAATCCCTGCGGGCGCATATGTAATAACTAGCGCCCATATATCTCCCCGTTAGAACATTAACAAGACACCGCTGGTGCATTTAAGCGCCGAAAACTTAACTTTAACTACTGTTAAGCATTTATTAATACATTAAAGCTCTCCGTTTTCCGATCTGAATGAAATTTTAAAATAGTTAAGTGGCTGTCAATTTCTAGTCCCCCCGTTATTATTCCCTCGAGTATGAAAATACAATTTGGCGGGCACACTGTTACACCGGGCTAATTTTATAAATTTTGGGTTGAGCCATCTCTCGGCTTCTTTGTTTTTCCAGCGGCGTTTAATCCAGACTAGTGGCTTGTCAAACAGCCAGGAATATTTAACAAGTACTAACTAGTTCCGTTATGTTAAAATTGCAAAATTTAGACTACGAGGAACGTGGAAACGGCCAATTTGGATCAAAAACCCTTTTTGAACTTTGAAAGCCTATATTCCTTAGAGAAAAAAACACACCCTTAAATTTTAATGTTCTATTTTCAATGATTACTTCAAATTCGTCCATTTGACTCCGAATTTTATCAAATGGAAAAAGCACTAACAAACTGGAAAAAAAAACATTAACTTTTATCAGAAATAAGAACTAGTGAGAAAGACAGAAAACTTTTAATTTTATTATTTTTGTTAGTGAATCATTTGCCTTAGTGACTATTAGCAGTTTTTGTGAAGGATTTCGGTCTTTTCCAATTGTCTCCTCATAGCTACGTCTGCTTATTGGCCGTCGACTGTTTCACATTCTAACGAAGCCCACCTGTATAAACGTGGAGATAGTATTATGCACTGGATTTCACAAGTATCTGGAACATATGAATGACCCCGCTGATTGTTTATAAATATTATAATTTATTACTTCTAAACCTTCCGACCAAATCTGCAAATCCTCTTTTTGTTAAGAAAATTCAATTTCTCATTCTGCAGATTCAATTTCTCAACCTCTCACCTAGAATTAGTGATTTAGAATTAGTAGTGACATAATTGTAAACAAAAAACAACTATACCAGTTAGTTCTCTGAAATTTCATTTTCTTATCAAAACATTTCACACCAAAAGCTATAATTCGTCCAATGAATTGTAACTAAAAGTTATCAAAACAATGAAAAAAGACAACAGTTCTCATTTTTTATCCAAATAAGAATCGACAGATTTCGCGGAGATACCTGTTCAGAAAAACAAAGCAAATGTTACAAACCAACTTAGCGAGAGCAAAACTATTAAAGCGAGTTATTTACAAGAGGGGCTTCAGACCGAACATCCTTTGACCAGTTCAAAAGACGAGACTTATTTTTCAAAGCAATGCGGCCACTTGTCTGAAAAAATGGTCACTGAACCAACTGCGGAAGATTTGGCGAACTTGACTAATTTGTCGCCACTAGCACCTGTCGATCAGTTCAACCAAAACTCCGAACTTCCAATAATCAGGACAAGAAAACAGAACCTCGCATCTTATAGAAAACTTAGCACGCCGCCAAAGTTTTTCTCTTCCTGCAATCCACCGTTGCGCCAAAGATCCAGCACTTCCTCTTTCAAAACATCAAAGAAATTCAGCACTTCCAGTGATAAGTCGGCAGTTTTGACGTTGTCGGCTGCTGTTTTATTCGACATTCCTTTTGTTATGATCGCACCCGACGTTATTGAAGGCGCGATTGCGAATAAAAACCGACTAATTCATGAAACCGAGGTTATGGAGGAGATTCCTGCTGCTGAGAAACTGGGAGTTGACTTGGATTCTGAGATCCCGAATGTGTCGGAAAAAGTGGAGGAGTCGCCGAAGACTCCAAAAAGAATCTCGCCTGCTCTACGGAAGCAATGGTCGCATCTTCATCCAATGGTCACAGAGAAACAGGTTCATTTTAGCGAGAGCGTCTATCTAATTAATACAACCGAAAGAGTCTTGATGTTTTCAGACTATACGTCTTGGCAGGAGCGGATATAAGATTTTCTCGAAGGGGCGGATTTTCGAAAAAGCTGTCGATCATTTTTTTATTAGGTCGACCAAATTGATTTTCCGAGCGCTCTCAGAACACTATAAAAAAACTGTTTTGGAAAAAAAAGTTTGTACCGCAGCCAATATTTTGAAAAAAAAACAGGTCAAAATTGCCATTTGTCAGCAGTTTTTTTCAGCTCTTTTTGATTGATGAGAAGTCGAATCCCTGAGGAAGAAGCTTCCGAATTCTTATCGCTTATGTTAATGAGATAGATATCGACAAAAACAAATGTGTAAAATAACTAAACTAGTGTTGAAAAAAAACTTTCCAAACTTGTATGGCTATAATGACTGCTCTGCTGCTTAAGAAATATTTAGGTCGATAATTGAAGCAAAGTTCTTTATCTTTACGTTTATTATAGTTCGGATCATTTGAAAGTGGGAGGAATTTTCTATTCGGGTGAGTTTTAGTTTTTTCTTTTCTTTTTTTCTTTTTGTTTCCAGGCAAAATTAGGTACCACAAAAAATTGCGCAAATGGGCCGACTGATGTATCATACTAAAATTTTTTGAGTCGTGATTCGAAAGCCATTAAAAATTTGTTAAAAATTTGTTCTTGCATCGAGAAAAAACGGTTTAAATTTTTCAGTTTTTTGTCTAAGTTCAAGCTTTTTTTTTCTTACTTTAAGACGTGAAAACTTACTTTTACAAAAATGTAGTTGTTTTGGAGCATGTTAGCGCCATTCTTGAATTGAAAACTCCAAAAAGTCAACATTCAAAAAATTTCTGCAAAAACAGATCAAAAAAACTTCTATTTTTTAAATATTTTTGTTTTCTGAGTTATTTTTCTACAAAACTGCTGTCCAATTTGCTTGTTTTATTATGAATTTTTAAAAATTCTATTGTTTTGTCAAAATTTTTTGTCACACCACGCAGGAAAAAAAAACGAAACTAACTTGAACACAGAGGCGAAGCTTCGCTTCGCAAACCTTAGCCAGAACACGACAAAAAACAGCTTTTATACAGTGCAATAAGAAAGAGTGGAATTAAACCTCGAAATATTGAAACTTTGGGAGCGTCTCGGATTTGGACTGCGACCTGTTGCGATAGAGAGATCAAATGTCTCGTGCACTAATCACTCAGTCACGGAGTTTTAATCAACACAAGCATTAGCCGCAAAGAGCAAACACTATGAAATTTTCAATCTTGCGCAAAAATGGCGCAAATGAAAACTTTCAATGAACATTTTTAATTGCGACTTAGATTGTAAAGTTAGAAGAAAAAGAAGGTTCGTACTAATACACTAGGCCGCTCGCAATTTTAAAAAGGTATTTGTTTTAGTTTTTTTTTACTATGGTCGGAATATCCTGTGCTACTTGCACAGTAACTGGCTATCCTTGTTTTGTTATGTGGACAAATAATGAAACACCCATTTTGTAGAATGACATCATCTTTGGGATTTCAAAAAAAGTTGGTTCGAAAGGGAGAAAGAGAAAAAGAGAGGGGATGAAGGAGAGAGGAGAGAGAAGAGAAGAGAGAAGAGGGAAAACAGATAGAGAGTCAAAAAAAAGATATATTTTAAATTTCGCGATCAAACTTAACGATTTTCCCGAAAAAAATACAGGTTTGAAAACTTTCTTTCATCCAGAACTAATTCAGTTTTGTGTTTTGTTAGTTGAATTGTTGTATGAACGTTTTGAAGTTTTCATCAAAAAACCAATTTTTCTATGATAATATATATAATTTCACGCTTAAGTGAAAGCTAATGAGGAGCACCTTAAGGGTATTTTTTCTTAAAAAAAATTCTAAACTTTCAATAAAAACTCCTTTTTGTTGAACATTTTATGTAACATTCGCCCGGAAGTATATACCGACGGAAAATAAAGCTAGGTCATAAAACGACTGGCTAGCGTCTAATCACAGCTTCACACGCTTTTTACCGTCTCTACGACAGCCAGTTCATTGTGAGTTTCACTAAAACCGGGTCGACGAAGTCGTTACAGCTTAAAAGCTATCGACCAAACGGTGCAAATTAACTTAGTTTTTTGAAGAAAAAAAATGAGCTCATGGCTGGGTCTCAGTATCCCCAGACCACGAGTGCACTCCTAAAACAGGGCTACTGCATTATTATTATATTACTATTGTTTTTGTTCAGTAGATAAAGTCATCATATCTATCGGAGATGGATCAACCCTTTCCCTCAACTCCTAGCTTCTCATTATCTGAAAATGAGTCTGATGTTAATCTTATTCAATTCAAGACATTCTGGGAAGCTAAAAACTGTTAAAAAAAAGTTCGTAGTCGTTTTCCTATACCCCTCCGGAGTCTTGAATCCGGACAAAAAGCTGTCTTCTTCGCGACCAGGAAGGATAGTAAAATCCTTCCTTTAGCCCTCCTGGTTCTCGGGAATTGCTTTGTTACGATTGTAGCTGCACAATCGTTACAAATCGGAGCGCTCTTCCTCGAATAATGTCGATTGTTATTTCAAGCTTCTTCTGTCTTCATTTCACGCCAGTTCCTTATGCACGAAAATCGTCTGTCTGGTTTTTGCGGTTTCAGTTGTCACAAACTTTCAGGGTCGTGGCGTGTCTTTATTCGCAACTGAGTTTTTAAAAATTAATAAGTCAGTCAAGACTGACCCCTCCCAATTCGTTCAGTTCGTCGAACAAGCACATTAATCTTTAAAATTAACACATCGTACGCCAAAACTGTTCGAAGTTAAATTCGTCCATGACATGCGTTTTCAGGTCATTCTGGTCAAAATGTCACACAATTTGGTTCGTAACTAACAGCTTCACGCTTATTCTTAAATTCATTAAAAAAAACTCTTGCTTTTTATAATTCGTTAATGCATTTGTTTCATTCAAAACTAAAATAATTTTGCAAAGTTATCAATCACAGTTTTCAAGGCGGTGCTGTAACTTCATAACTCAAAAAAACTCAAGAACTTCGATTGAAAACAAAATCAAATCTTTGATGTACACATAACTGCTCTTTTTTCAAATCCTGTAATTCTTACCAGAGAAAAATTGCCAGGTGAAAACAACCTGAACGTTCAGACTGCATTTTAGGGTCTATGGAGTTGTAGGGGTTGATTTATGGAAAATTAAATGACAACTGCAAGCCGTAATATGCTCAAATCGGATCAAATCTGATAGGCTAGAAAACAAAGCTTATCTCTCTCCTAAATTGAGCTAAGGGTAAGATTTTTCACTTGGTGGGATCAACAAATATGAAAAAAAATTTTAGTTCCAGTTCTGAATTTTTTTTTTTTTTTCAGACCAAATTTCAAAAATATTTGTTTCTCAACTCATTGTTGCCTGGATCTTCGTGGGCCCCAGAGTTCGCTATCTACTATATTAACCTGACCACAGTCTATCTAATTGCTCATTTCAAAATTTGTTGCAGAATTTTCGCGTTGGAATTACCCAAAACCGTAAAAAAGTTGAAATTGAACGGAGCCAAACTAATTGGCCTTATTATTTCCATATACGACTCCCAATTTTGTATTTGAAACTTGATAGTAATAGCCTAAAATTCATAATCCTGATACAAGCAGCCATATGTTGCATCATTTGCTCTACGTTTCAGAAATTTAGAAATTTTTTTATAGTTTTTTTTTTGCATGTAGGGTGTGTTTTCTAAAGATGTACTAGCGATTTTTTGCTTCATCTATAGCCTGGTGTCATGTATACAGGAGTTAAAAAGTTCTGTGATATATCACTAAAAGGCCATTTTAAAAAGATTCGAATAATAAAACACATGTTGAGAAAAAAAATCACTCTGTTTGTGCAATAATGATCAAATCAAAAAAGAAAGTAACCAATTTTTTGGAAATATTCAAAACGCAGTCCCAAAAATGAGGAGGAAACAAAAATTGCTTGAATTAGTGTTTCAATTATTTATTCGTTTTTCAATTAACTTTATAAAATTATCTCGAATGGGTAACTGCGCGTTATATCAAAATTAGCCTCTTATAAAACCATTCAAATTTTTAGGACAGTTTAATACTCAAAAATTATTATAAGTGAATGTATTTTTGTTTGAGCCAAAAAATGTCTTTTTTTCCCAATTCCTGGCTCAAATGTCATATTCAATTTGTTGCTCAAAAACAAAATTTAAATTTTTTGCTAAATTTTTTTAAGGTCATACTTCTCTATGATTCCGTTGAGAAGCTTACTTTGATATAACTAGCAAGTCATTTGACAAATTAGGTTTAGCGTAATTTTTGATTGATTTAAAACAGCCAAACCCATTTTTGAGGTAAATTTGGTAAAACTCCGGTCATGTATTGTTCTCATCAATTTTTTGTCTAATATCAACCAAATTTGAGAAAAACTTGTTTAAAAATTAAAAGTTTGTTCATTTTAACAGCATATTTAAATCAGCACTGTAGCTTTTCAGAATTTTATCGTATAACGTTTTTAATTTCTGAAATAATTCTGACCTTGAGAGTTTCAATTTGAGTTGAAATTATAATTAACACCATTTATTGACGCTTTATTTTTCGGTCAACAAATCTGAATAAAAATAATTAAGCCAAGACTGCTCATTCCGACGTATGATAGTTTGTCACTAATTTTTACGTCTTTCAACAAATTTTTTTATCTAGAATGCTGTAGTGTTTGACCAATTAAATTGCTGAAGTTCACCGCTATTGGCAACAATTTGGCATTAACTATACATCCAAGTTTTCAAAATTGCATTTGAACTGTCATAAGAGCAAAGCAAAAAAAATGCGCTAATTCAGAGGTGTTTAAAAACATTTTTTTTTCAGCAGCGACCTGTTATGCAATTTTTCAATACAGAAAAACACATAAAATTTCATCAAAAGGCAATCGCGGAACTTTGTAGAACTTCTTATGTTAAGTTTCAGCTTAAAAACCGCAATAATATCAAAAATTTAAGACGTTTACAAAAC